AATAAATCTGGCCGCTAAAATGTCAAAGTTTGATGGTCATGGCTGATTAACTTGTTACGTAATATGAAATACATAATCATGTTAATGGTTCAGCCGTGGGTATCCGACGATGTAAAATGGTTCAAAAATGAAATGAAACTCAAGCTACATTTTGTATCTAGTTTACAAAATAAGCACTGGTCTTTATGTTAAAAGGTTTCATTACAAAGATAGAAATCTTGTACATACTAATAAAACTGATAATAAGCAATATGATTTTAACTGTAGACAACCCGTGCACAATAAATGTAAATGAATGATTATTTGTTCATTTGATTGTTGTTGTTTTGTTTTTTTTGGTAAGAAATTGGTCATGTACTGTTTACATATTAAGCTAGTCTAGTCGCAGTAGGCTTCTGAACATATTACACCGCCCGGTTAGCCCATTATTCTAGAGCATTAGCCTGTGATTCGGGCGATCGGGGTTTGATTCCCAGACGTTGCAAGTCACTTTCGTTTAGTTCGATCATGCCATCTTTTCTAAGATTATTCGCACTGTAACTCTGCTTTGTCATACACAAAAGTAACTAGTTGTTCCTTGCGAAAAATGAATACATCTGGTACATGATAAACTGCTTGACAACTTGTGCATATATTATGCTCGTTAGTACAGGTATTGCATTTCTGCATCCTTGTTTAAAGTCAACAATTAATTGCCTTTAATACATGTTTAAAACGTGACTATGTTTTTGCCTCCCATTGGCAAAAACGCGAAAAATTATCACGATTGTGGCACACTTTTATTGATAAAATTTATACGGGTGAGTACCTTTATAGCTTTAACAGTCTATTTGCGATAAAGTTGGGTATTTACCCAACTGACGTAAATGCAAAAAATGATATTTCAACCTACTTTGAAATTGTTAAGGACGGGTGTAAATAATATATTAAAAGTATGAATATGTTTGCATGGTCGGTTTTCACGTGAAGCTGTATATATAAATTAATGGTCTAGTATACAAACATTTACAACATAAATGACGAGCTATTGATTCAAATTAATGTAATGTTATTAAAAATGACAATTCTTTAAAATATGTTTTTTCTTGCAAACATACCCACTCAATATATAATTACGTTTTTAGGCTTTAGTGCACTTGAGTAATCCAGAATGTGCGAGAAATGCCTCAATTATGCATAATTTGATCACAGTCTGACAATATTTGCTTCAAAGAAAATGTCCTAACATATGACTGCCCCGGTCACATATTCACGGATAATGCCACGGAAGAGCTACGGTCTAATCGTTCACGGATTACTACGGATAAGTGAAATTCCGTATTCCGCTACGGTTCCAGTACGGACACACAACGGTATGAGTACGGAGTCCGACTGATTTACCACCAAAAGCCCCCGGAGAGACACGGATTGTTACGGACCGACACGGTTTGATACGGAGCGACACGAATCAGGACGGACGCACTACGGATACACTACGGATTGCTACGGTATAAGCACGGGTTAGTACGAATAAGTACGGTCTGACACGGAGAAGAACGTATTGATACGGAGAAGAACGAATTGCCACGGATCTATACGGACCTAATACATCCGTCCACAACCTCTTGCTTGCTCATTTTCAAAATGCCTCAGAAGAAAAGAACACCTAGAAAACGAACTGTAGCGTTCAATGATTTTGGCGGAGAGAATTCAGCCTAATCGCGTCCGAACCCCGAGACACATCAGGTCCAATTAAAGTGAATTTCTTGAAGAACGCTGGATCCTCAACAATTTCGGCCATGGGCGCCTCATTCTCTTCGTAAAAGCCCATCTCTAGTCCACCATCTCGTCTGTCTTCCCTTACCTGATTAGATATGGACTAGTAATCATGAATGAAAACTGTTGATCAATACTGCTTCTCTTTTAATTTTGAGATTTGCTGTTCATCTTACAATTACATTCATAATCGTGATGTTTATTTTTAAAATATGTAAAAAGCTTGTTAATTAATCTTATTATCACTCAATAGCCAGTGTCCGAGGCTTATGAGACACTTCGTTTTATGTACCTATTTACTCCATTTTCACGATCCAATGTTTGTAACATATGTAACATTAAATGTTATTCTATTTCTTATGAATTGTAGTACGATATTAGTATAAATTTACTTCTATGCATGTCATCAAGCAGCTCGACCACTGCCTCCGCATTCTGAGCCATTTCAATATAAAGTTGCAGCCAGTAAATGGCAATTATCATTTATTATATGTTCCTGCAAATATATATGTCTGTTTTTAACAAGAAGGTAGTATTTATACCCTTGAAAAAGTACATGATACTTAATTAATCCGTACTAAACAGTGGTGGGCCGTACCATTCCGTACCGTTTCGTGCTGCAACGCAAAAAACCGTATAAGGCCGTGCTAATCCTTGCCTCTCCGTAGTACAACGTATTACTATCGTGGCTTTCCGTGACAATGCCGTAATAATCTGTATTAAAACCGTAGCTTATACGTAGGGTAACCGTTCAAATACGTAGTTCTCCGTACCAAACCGTGGAAATCCTTGACAAGTTGGTGGACTACGAATCAGTACGGACTATTACGGTTTTCGTACGGACCAGTACGTATCAGTACGGATTAATACGGACTAGTAGGGATGAGCTACGGTTGATTTTTCCGTAGCAAATTTTTGTGCATGTTCAAAAATTGTCAAGGATCGCTACGGATATACAGGGACTACTACGATTGATTACGGTTACAATACGGAGAGCTACTGACCAGTACGGGTAGCTACGGAAGATGCCGGAATTAATCCGTGGCTCTTCCGTGGGCGTATTCCGTGAATATGTGACCGGGGTATTATGTTAACAGACTCTTCAATTTCTGAATAGCGATTCAGACGAACATTCACACATTACAGATAGAAGCGCATGCCATTGTTTTTTGTAACTTTTCTCATGAGAATGAATAAGATGAAAGTATTTATTGAAACGGTCTTTTGTTATTGTTATATTTTGTCATAAGGACACACTTAAGACTTTCTTGAACATTGACTTCTTTTTTCATTATTTTGTGTGATAGATAAAATGTGTTGATTACTTGTAGTATTTACTGATTTTTGAGAATGGTACAAAAATAAATAGATTGAGACCCTTCAGCAAATAGAATTAAAACTTATGATTATTATATATTTGTCTCAGCACAATTATAAGTGCGGGCTTGCGTCACGGGTTATATATAAAAAAACGCCGTTTGTATAGGGCCATATAGCCTGTCAAAATTTTAGATATTACCCCGCACATTGACCATTTAATCTTAAACGATTTCATGTCTTGTTTCATATTTTCTTAAGTTATTGCCTTTGGTGAGCAAAGCAATACTGACAGAGTTTATAAATAAGCACCTTTTTGCTTAATACCCCGGTCACATATTCACATATCCAGTACATTGTATACATGTATAGCGTATTTCTTATAATTTAAACGTTATTGTTGCTATAACATATAGCTTATGCATATGCTATAGCAATTGATATACATTGTATTTCGATAATCATACTACGTACAACAAACAATCTAAATCATAAACTGCCTTAAATCTAAATAATGGGAGATAACTGAAATATAATAAAAAAGAAGACCCGAGGAGTTATCACACGTTTAAATAAGAACGAATAGGCGCTTTGTTGATAACATGAATTTACAAACTTTATGATAAAATTGTATAATTTCCCCTCACCTAACATACTAGGCCTTGTTAAATAGGCCTTTATAAATAAATTTTAGATTACAAAAATGGGGGATCTTCGAACGCAATGAAAACAAATTTGATGAAATTGCAGATAATGATAGGCGCAAACACCTCTCACGTCTCCCTGTCACCAACTACAGAAGGTTACATATAACAATTCTCAAAATAAGTCATCAGGTTATCCGAATATCTAAAGCGTTGGACTGTGAATCGGGCGACCCGGGTCCAATTTTTGGAAAGTGTAGGTCACTTTCATGTACAGAAGTTACCTGTTACTTCCGAAAGGGAAGGGAACTAGTACTGGTTAACCGCTGGACACCCTGCCCAGGAACTATGCTTTGGCTGATCTTTGCTTTGTGAAATTCAATGTAGCTTTCTGCCATTGTCCGGAGAGAAAACTACCAATGTCACAAATTCCTTAAATAGTGCAACAAATGCTGTCACAAAATAATCATCAACTGGATTAAGAATCAGTAGTATCCAATCTCATTTGAAAAATAGAATCATGCATAAAACGTTTAACAATTTTAAACAAATTTATTTCAGTTCGATTGTGTTGAAAGCTATATTACACTCTCAAATCATTACCTTGAACCAACCAGTACTAAGCAATGAATGTCAAGTTTCTTGCTCGCGGAAACAGCGGCTTGCCCACGCGGTCAGCAATCCTGTGATTACTAGTCCGACGCGTGAACCACTCGGGCACGCCGCCACTTCTTTACATAAGTGATATGTAGTATAGATAGATCATATTAACCAATAGGAGGTTGCCTCCATTTATGTTTAAAAACATGATTTTCAATAATTTGTTAATTTAGCTTTATGAAAGATGTTTCATGTTTTATAATACGATATAAACGTAGTCAGTTTATGCTATTAAAACAATAAAACATACTTAAAATGTTAGTCATCAATTACGATTTACTAAACTTAACAAGGTATGATCTTATTTTAAATTTTACTCCTAATTACTAAAAAAAAAGGAAAGGTATCATCTACGACGACAGTGATATGTACAGATTAGACAATATGAAGATGGTTATTCTGCTTGTATAATTAAGACAATTTATTACTGCCTAAGTTGGTGCATGGGATGTGTACAACAATTTTCAATTAAAAGTATTTGTGTCAGTGGATATCTAAAATATTGCTCTATTAAACAAACAAAGAGACTGCCGAACATATGAATGTTGTTCTACATAAATTTTGAAACTTAAAAACATAGAAATTGAATAAATTTTCGAATTACCTCCCTTGTAGTTTAAACAGTAATACTTCACGTCAGCAGATGTCAAATGACGTGAGTTGCCTCTACTTCACTTCAGTGTTGTTATATTTTTGTTCCCTTGGGATGATTCAAGTACATAAGGTGTTAAAATTGAATACCGCTTAAGTCGGTGTTGCACTATTCCATTACCCCTCATAAACACTCAATCAAACCAAATTTGCATTTTGATGTACTTGGGATGTTTTTATCGCGTTTTAGGAATGTCCCTTTTCCCCATTTTGTTAAAATAAGACATGTGTACAGTATTTTGTATTTCCAGCTTATCAGCTTTTTCTCTTTAAACGCAAATGACCTTAATTGTCACGCAATACAGATTTAACGTCATTTGCAGTTATTCATTTGCTCGATTAAATTGGAAAAAAAGTTTTAAGAAAGTTGTTTCCGTTATAAAATACGAAATAAGGTCAATAATACAATTAAAAAAATGTTTCTAAAAATAACATTTTCAATCGTCAATAAAATTAATACGACAGAACGATGCCAATAAAATCCCTGTTACTCCAAAAAATCGAAGGTTGCTTTCGTTTCTTCTCCAGTTGTATTGTGCACTGCCCTTACTTCTAGTTCCGTTCCTCCAAAAATAAGACCTACAGATGCACTTCCAATCTTTCCATGTCGGTCTCTACAATCAACGCTAACCTCACCAATTGAAATACATTCCGGCTCGTCAACGAATATTGGATCCCTTTTAGGTGATGCAAACAGTTTTATACAGAAAGCACTTTCTCCATCAGTAGGGTGATATGACATCATTTTAGATTGGTCAATTTCTGACACACTTTGTCCAACCTCTACAAGCTTTGAAAAACTACCCCTCACTTCTTTCCCGCCGCATTTGTTATAGATAACTCTTTCCTTTGGATGTATAGAAGGATCAAATTCACTGTAGCATTTTAAACCATATGTAAACTTCGCAATGCGTGAAGTTATGATATTGCTGTCATGGCCAAAAATAACAGCGCCCTTTAAAACCGCCAATCCAGCCTCGTGTGGAATAATCACACGAGCATTTGGAAACGATGTTTCCACGGCGTGACGCAACATAGGTGACTCAGAAAATCCACCCACCATGAGAATTGACGATATACCTTGCGCTACTGGTAAGCTTAATATGTTTTGTAGATGCTTAGTGATTGTATCATTTGTTTGTGCAAACAGTGCTTTTACAGTGTCTGCTTCAACTCTCATCTTATCACCGGCAAACGTAACCTTTCCTTCTAAAGTAGGAATCTTGCGAACGGCGTCTCGTATCTCTCCGTCATTTACATCTCTATAAAGCTCGTGGAGGGTTATCGGTATCTTAAATGTTACCTTTGAGTCCATGTCAGGCTTGACTGTTCGTTTCTTTATCTCGAATTCTCTGAGTAGATCAATGAAGTCGTCTTTGTGATCTTCCTGGAACCTTAAAATTACTTTTTCTCCAGTTATAGCTTGAATAAAGCGCATAAAAGCTTCGTCAATAGTTGTGCCGCCCCAGGCTCCACCATTTGCTTTATAGAGTTCTTTTAACTTTCCATTTTGTATAACTTCATGCACGGTAATATCTACGGTTCCTCCTGAAATTTGATATAACACTCTTTTGATTTCATATTTCTATATTTCAAAATAGCATTTTAAACACATTTTAACAAAAGAGGGCGATCTATTCATTTCCTTTCATTTAATGAATATATATCATAATATTCAATATATAGAATATATTACATATTTTATTTTATATTTATTATTTTATCAAACGAATGACGGCAAGCCATTTGTATCACATTAATTGTATAGCATTATTGACTGTTCACCGTTTTTAGTTGTGCTAAATAATTTAGAAATGTATGCAGAGTTACAACTTTACTATAACACACTAGAACAAAATAGGGGAATGCATATATATTGTGTAATTTGTGAACACAATGTTGAGTTATTTGCACTTCATGTTTTGAAAATATTTTGAAAGTATGGCTATAAAATGTTTAAGTTTTGATTTTCTTTATGCTGATTCAATGTCGAAACATAGCTATTTTGGCTATACCTCCTGCATCAAGAACAAGGTACTTTGACTTTGGTTGAAAGCAAGTTATTTTCTTGTCTGCAGATCCCATCATTCGTTCAACCGGAAGATATCTGCAAAACATTGAAGCTGCTTCCGGTTCTAGTGCAAGTTTTAGGTACTCTCCGGGTATTCCAGCCTAATTATAATAGTTAAAATTAAAATAAAATATATTTAAGATATACTGAGGGCTATGTTGAACTTCATCTTTGAGTAAAATATTTTTATTGAAGAAATTGATTGAAATCTATAAAATTCTTATTGAATATGTCTAATTTAGATATTTGATGTACAAACTATGCATGGGAGTCCGCGTTCCTTATTATGGGTCTGCAACTTTTTTTATTGACACTATATATTCATAGTGTGTCCACTTATAGTGTGTAGGATTTAAAACATAACATATCTACTAAGTGTGAAGTCATATCATGTTATATTATATTTACAAAAAGACTGTGAAGCTATCATCAGTATTTTCAAATATCAAATTTGAGCATAGTTTGTCAATATTTTATATTCATAACACTTTATGCGTAAATTTTTTGAACCCTACCCGATCAAATAATTATGATGGTATAATCTTTTAAAGTGAATTGGTCTATATTGGAACTTCCGTGATACAACACATATTTACGTTGATAGTATACACATATATCAGCAGCAAACTAAGCAACACAAATGTGTACGCCGTTAGCTAGTGTGAAACATATGGTTCGATATTACTTACCCTTATATTGCAGATAATGAATGTTCTAGAACAAAATATTATAATTCATATCATCAAAGAAATGTTCATACTAAATCACTTAGAACTTCTTACAAGATTTTACAAGAATATCCCTGTTATAAACTTCTATTGTTCTTTTATACCAATATTTAAGTACATCTATAAGAAGTACTTTTTGGTGAGCAATCTACTTTAAAGTCTATGCTTAAAATTATTGACAAAATGCATAAGCATATTCCATTCACAATCCTTTACATCCTTTTTTTAATATTATGTTTCTTGGGTTTTTACTCACATCATTTTTTTTCTAAATTGAAATCATTAACATCATGGTTTGTATCTGCATACCTTTAATGCAGCTTCTCTCATAAACTGTTTAGCCGCATCATCCCAAATTGCAGGAACTGTCAATACCCATCGAATGTCGTGTAAGTTCATGTCACCCCCGTACATTCTCTCGGTGCAAGACTGCATCATATGATCTTTTAAATAGCGGATGCCAGCAGCAAAAACTTCCATTGCTGGTAATTCCTTTCCTGTCTCATCTTTTATCAAAGATGTCCTGTGTACATCCTTGAACAATAATTACATGGAATATATTAAGATTTTGGAAAAAAAAAGATTTTTTTATCATTAAAATAGAGAGACATAAAGAATCCTTAAAGAACGCACAAAACGACAAAATTGTAAACATTCCACGCTAGGTTTGATTGAGCCTGTTCATGGGCGGTAATGACAGTGGAAGTTACCGTACACGCCCCCTAGCACCGCCATGAGGCAGAATGAAACATTTAATCATGATGATGGTGAAATTTTGCATTTAGAAACCGCCGTTAGTAAACTGTAGATGCTGTATTTACATGTGCAATAAATTATCGAAAGCAAAATAAAAATGAACAAATTCAAGTTGAAGGAAAAAAACACCAAAAGAGTACGGTCTTTGACACTGGTGATCTTGATATTTCACAGTTTTCTTTCTTAGTGGGCCTAGCGATTTGAGCTGAAGAATAATTTTTACTTTACGATAAATGTGAGAATGTTATGACAGATATGAACACAAACCATCTATCGATCAGGTGGCGTTAAATGGAATATCCTCTTCGTGCTGAATATAAAACTTATTTAATGATATTTACTTATTTTCACCTCTCTTTTATAAAATCAAAAGGTGTAACATTAGCTTATTAAACAGCAACTGTAATTAAATTCTATTCTGATTGAAACATCATAGCTTTATCAAGTCGTCATATTTTGGTCTAGTTTAAACATAGTAATTTTCCGAATATATACATTTACATTATATACATATGCAATACAATTCAAACAGTTTTATATTCAAGAAAAGTATGAGAACGGAAGAATAACTCTTGTAAAATTATTTTGCTTTGTGTTGGCATGAATAAAGACCTACAATTGTTTTTATTTTTTGATAATAGAAACATTTAAAGATGCAAACCTTTGAACTGTACAACATCATCTTAAATCTTCTGAAGTAGTACCAATCACGGTGCTCATCGTCAAGGGCAAGGTCACTGTATTTGTCCTCAGCTTCGAATCCAAATGAGTCAAACTGACGGTTTGGCTTAAACAGAATCGTGGAAGACGTCTTCAGAGAAATTGACACTCTAGATCCGGTCGTCCAGGAGCTGGCACAAACCTTCAGAGGATCTTGCTCAAACTCATGCCGAAACGAAAAAGCATATCCAGAGTAGGTGGTACCAAAATCAATGGCTGCCACAAGAAGTGCTTGGTTGCCCTTTGACATGACACTTTTTTAACTTGAGCTATAAAAATTCAGAAAAATATATGTTTAAAAGGGCTTTTAATCTTAATTGTTTATTGTGTAAAAATAGTTAAAAGAATGTAATTTATGTGATGGTAGGATGATGGTTTCCGAAAGACACATCTTAAACTATAGCATGAGAGATTACACACAGGATGGTTCGTACAGAAACATCGCCTTTACATATAGTTTAAGCGTTTTCATTTTCAAAAATGCAAAGTCGATCGTTTAATTTTTAAACACCAAATAAGGACAATTTCTGCAATTTGTATTAGAAAAATCAGAAAAAGCTTCTTCTTCTTATCTTTCTTTAAACAGCTTCATAATTGATAAGTATATATAAACATCTTTGAGATCTTTAAGTCCAACATTGCTGTTGTGTCTGTTGTAATTTTAGTTTTTTTTTAAAATGTCACCATTTTCATGGTTGAATGTTGAATTCTGCTTAAGCTAGTGCTAGGGGCGTGGATGGTAGTTAGCACTTGACTGTGCCCTTAACGAACCATTTTGCTGTTCAATGTGGGCGTTATAGACCTTTTGTAAGGATTCCTATTTTCTCTATAAGAGCCGCGTCACTACAAAACCAACATAGTGCGTTTGTGACCAGCATGGATCCAGATCAGGATCCATGCTGTTCGCTATCAGTTTCTCTACTTGCGAACAGCATGGATCCTGGTCAGACTGCGCGGATGCACAGGCTGGTCTGGATCAATGCTGGTCGCAAACCCATTATGTTGGTTTTGTCGTGACGCGGCTCATTTATTTTTTAAAACAATAGCGCAATGCTTACCGTATTAAAACCTTAACATAAAAAATTGTTCATGAATGAGGATATGTTACAAGTATCTACCTGTACAAATGATTGAGTTGTATGTTAAGGATGTGAAACAACTTCCTTGTTTGTTTCTCGTTAAAAAAATTTATTCTCTGAATATAAATATCTTCCTGGTCTGAAGCTAATCCCAATCGTAACTCAAATCTTTACAACTATGACCTTAAAATTACGTATATTAACTTTTTAACAAATTTTCTATTCCGTTTGTGCTACCAAATATTCAAATACTGCATTTGTTTAGAAAACCTTTGAAACTTCTAAACGTATGGTATGTTTTGTTTACTTTCGGTTTTCAGAACGCTTACTTTCGCTTTTAAGAACGGAAAACAGAAGTATTGGTTCTAGCAATGAACATGATAACATAAAAGAACTAGCTTGATTTAACATTTTAAGATCCATTTAATTTGGTAAAATACATCTACAATATAAAATATCTCTACTCCAGTCTGAACATTTTAAACAAACTGGAAGGCTTTCAGTCGGAAATAGAATCATCGTAGTTACTGTCATATCATATGATTATTTTAATTTAATAATCTACAATAAATCCCCCATTTAAACAAGTTAATCTACCTTGTTATGTTGAAATATATTATTATGACTTACGCGCTGCCACCGTTGAAATGATATCTAATTTACTTCCTATTTTACGACTTCTACGAAACCGCCAAGGTATTTATCAATAACGAAACCATAAATAAAGTGGCAACGTCGCATATTAGTAGTTTAATGTAAACCTTGTGTAAAATCGGGTTTAAAATGTTATTTAATCAATATTAAAGCTTTCGAATTTATACAATGACTTTTTTACATTGAAAATAGTATTTGAAAGATATACTTATGTCAAGACTTCATGACATGCATTTCCAATTTTAAAATCATGTCAAATGTTTAAGCTAATATAATAGTATTGTCAATTTTAAAAGTAAGAAATAAAATAAGAATTATATTCAAAATTATATGATTAGATTGGTAATTACAGTAATTTTATATTTATAACATACTTTAAAAATCATCCTTATTGATCTTGTATCATTTATCTTCGTAAACAAGTATACTTGTAAAACTAATTACAAGTAATTCATAACACTTATGGTAGCTGTGAATCGAGATATATATAATAATGTTTATATATTATGTAATTACCTTATTAAAATTATACTTATAATTAGATACTCTTAAAGAATTTTGCACTATGGTACAGTTAAGGGACACTATTGAGAAAAAAAACGAAACAAAAAATGTATAGGATTTTTATTCAAGTGTATTTTATGATAAATTCCGTCGGACTGGTAAATCAAAACTGTCCATTGTTGACAGATTTCTTACAATGAAGAGATACGAAAGTTTTGCTTTCAAATATCGAACCTAAGCAATGCAATACAAGACAGGCGTGTTTTGATGTCTTTTTTATTCAAGTATGATACCAACAAACTTTCTTTAAAGGCAATGCATACATACTACAGAAATGTATTTTATGTGTCATAAAATTATTTATATGCAAGACAACATAATTCTTAATATCATTCACTTTACTTTTCTGTAAATCCGCATATATCTTATGCACTGCAGATAGAGGTCCGCATACCGAAGTTTCGTTACCGACAAATAAACGGTGCATTTATAATTAGCCTACGTCACTTCGCGTACCTCAGTGAACAGTGAACAAAGAAACTCGCATTTGCTTTTCTCTCAATCAAATTGTGTATTACTTTTGTTTTTCTACATTTACATTTAAATAATCAGCGGAATTGTATCATCGACGTCTTTGGGTATTATATTTCACCGTGTTTACGTGGATATAAACTTATCTAGACTGCTTACGAAGGATTTTTATCGACCAAAATTTTCAAACAAAGGAAGTAGGTCAACAGGGACGCTTCAACCGAACAACTATCTATCTATCTCTGGATACTGCCAACCCCTCTTACGAGTGTTAAAGGCAGGAATTTAGTGCACGTCGGATTGTTAGTAAAAGGTGAAGAGAAAAGCTAAAAAGAAAAGTCCAAACATTGACATGCTTGGAAGGTGAGACTGAGAATGTATTCTAGTCATGGTTAAAATGTTAATAGTGAAACAAGATGATAAGAGATAAAATAGTTTAAAAACACTGGGAGTAAGACTAGTACTGCAAACCCACCACTGCCTGTTTGAACTGACTCAGGTTGGGCAGGGTGGCAATGTTACTAGGAAGTTTATTCCATAGTATAATGCTATGAGGGAAGAAAGAGTACTTATGGTAGTCGGAGGATACCTGTATTTGACGTAGGGATAAGGGATGCATATGTCTGGTTAATCTATGTGGGGTTTGAACATAAGTTGGGAGATTAATTGCAACTAGGTTATGGTATATCTTATAAAACATTATCAGTCTACAGTCCAGTCTGCGATGTTCAAGGGATCGCCAGCCCAGTTCTTCCTGCATGGCTGTGACACTAGAGTGAGGGGAGTAATCCCTTTTAACCCATCTTATTGCACGTCTCTGGATCATCTCAACTTTGTCAATATTGGTTTTAGCATAAGGAGACCAAATAGATGAGGCATATTCAACCTGTGGGCGGACCAGGGACTTGTATGCTAGTTCTTTTACTTTCTCATTTTTAGTGATGACATTTCTTTTAATAAAGCCAAGGGATCTGTTTGCATTGGAAGTTATTCGAGATATATGTGTATTAAATTTAAGGTCAGCAGATAGATCTAGTCCGAGATATTTAGCATTTGTAACAGACTCTAGGATTTGGCCATGGAGCATATATTTGTGTTTAATTATGGTCTTATTTTTGGTGATATGGATGACTTGGCATTTTGAAGGGTTAAACTCCATGTCCCACTGCTTCTCCCACAGAACCATATTGTCTAGATCATGTTGGAGAGTTGGGGGGTCTGAGGAGGAATTGATGGTTAGGTATACAGCAGTGTCGTCTGCAAATAATCTGACTTGGGATTTGAGGACAGAAGATGGTAACTTGTTGATATATAGAAGGAAACAGAGGGGCCCTAGGACCGAGCCTTGGGGCACTCCAGAGGTAACTGGGACTTCAGATGAGCAGTCACTATCCACAACTACTGTCTGTCTACGGCCAATAAGGAATGACTGTATCCAGTTTAGAATTTGAGGACAAACACCATGTTCTTGCAGGGTATCTAGGAGTTTAAGATGGTTTACTTTATCGAAAGCTTTGGAGAAGTCAAGAAGTATGAGATCTGTTTGTTTGCCATTTGAAAGGTTGTTCACAAAGTAATCAGTAAGTTCAATGAGTTGTGTCTCACATGATCGTCTTACTCTGAATCCATGCTGAAGATCAAAGAGTATGTTGTGGGTGGTAAAGTGAGAGGATAGTTGAGAGGCAACTATATGTTCGAGTGTTTTACAGAGGATGCATGTAAGGGAAATTGGGCGATAGTTTGCTGGATCACTTGTATCACCTTTTTTGTAGACAGGGCATACGTTTGCACGGGTCCAGTCATTGGGAATATTACCGGTGGTCAGGGATTTTTGGAAAAGAACTGCAACGATGTCAGCAATCTCTTCTCTCAGCTCCTTCAGGACAATTGGTCTAATGTTGTCAGGGCCGGCAGCTTTGTTGGCATTGAGGTTGGCGAGGAGCTTTAGTACACCTGCCCTACCGATGATGATGTCATTCATTTGTGGGTACTGACAATACTTTCTGGGATCCATGAGTCTCAGTTTTTGTATACATTGATCTTTAAGTGTGAGTGGTATAATTGGTGAGAAAACTGATTGAAATTGTTTGTTAAGAATGTTTGCTTTTTCAGTGTTATTAATTTTGAGAGAACCTGACTTTTGATCTTTTAATGGAGACACACTTTGTGAATCTTGTTTAGAGTTTTTTATAAGTGAGTATAGTTTTTTGGTACAAACTTTACTTTGTGTATTAGTTTCATCATCATCATCTGCAAGGTTCAGGATGTTTTCTAAGTAAGCTTCATATGATTGTTTAATTCTAGCTTTTATTTGCGATTTCAAATTTTTAAATTTTAGCCATTGATCATGATCAGATTTATTTTTATTTGTTTTTGGTTTTTTAATATTTTTATAGAGCTGATCTCTTTTATGAATTAATTTTTTAATGGATTTTGTTATCCAGGGCAAAGATGGTTTAGCTGTAATTCTTTTAGTGGGTATGAATTTTGATATGCCATCCTCAAGTGTGTGTTTGAACTGCGACCAAAGTTCTTCAACAGACAAAGATTCAGCTTTTTGAAGTATTTCAGATGTTGAGGTTTTAATGAAGGTTTTCAACTCAGTCCAATTTGCCTTTTTATACAAGGTGCAAGTACGAGGTTTTTGTTTGAGGAGGGTAGGCCTAGAAGATATTTCTGTGGATATGATGTCATGATCTGATATGCCAGGTATGACCTTGACATTGTTAACAAGAGTGTGGTTTGAAATGAGCAATAGGTCAAGAATATTGTCATTTCGTGTACTTTCATTGACCATTTGTACGAGGTTATGATCATCAATGATCTTCAGGAATTTATCATACACAGGACTTGTGTTTAAGCCTTCTTTAAGATATGGTGTATGTTCAGAGTCCCAATTTAATTTTGGGAGGTTAAAATCGCCAAGGATTAACTTTGTACCTTTTAAGTTACGCACAAGTTCAAGGGATTTTTCAAATTCTAAAATACTATTCATATCAAGTTCGTGTGGTTTGTAATAAGATGCCAGAAAGAGTGACTTACTACCTTTGATTTCTATTTTTATCCATATTATTTCACAATCGGTGTTCAGTTTTGGTTGTTCACTTGGTAGGAGGTTGTTTTTAACAAGGATAAACACTCCACCGCCCTTACCTTTGAGTCTGTCACGGCGAAAAACTGTGTAGCCGAGTTCAGGTGGGAAAATTTCACTGTTATAGTGTTCTTTATTTAGCCATGACTCTGTGGCTGTAACAATATCTGGGTTTTGATCTATTAATAAATTTTGAAATTCATGTTTTTTGTTGACTATTGACTGGCAGTTTATGCATATAATTTTCAGTTTGGATACATAATCAATTTGTTTTTGTTTTGGATTTTTGGGATTTATAGAGCTAGGTGTATCTGTATTTTCATCTACTAGAGGTGAGAAGCTGTTATGTGATGAGATTGAGAGGATGCTTGAAATATTCGAAAGATTTGATTCATCACATATTGTACATGTCCATGCAAAGGATGTATTGCTATTGGTTAGATCTTGGTACCATGTGCTGTTCAACCCTTGACATTGTATGTGGAACCACATACAGCAATTATCACATTCAACAGCATGGTCAGAATCTTTGACCTCAGACCCACAGCTTCCACAAGGATAATCCGGGCCAGGGTTCCGTTCAACATCGCATGAAATAGACAGCAGTAGTATGACTAGATGTGATAAGGTCTTACTTCTATGAATTTTGGTGGGAATTTGGTGGCGTCTAAACCTAAGTTTCAGGTTGCCTACAATAATTCCACACGAGGAGATTTTTGACGGCGACATTGCGTTTGGCAGGATGGAGGGCCTAGGATGTAGGGTAATGTTGGTTCTGATGAAATTATCTGGTACATTCACCATATAAAGTAATGTCGAGAGAAAAAGAAGGGATATAAAAATACCTACAAACATATTGTTTACCTTTTTCTCCCACCGGAAGTTGGACAATAAAAGGTCAAGGTTGGTCTGGCGGGAAAATTTTTTGACAGAATAGATACCTGTGACTATACTTTGGGTGTTAATTTAACAATGGATGAATGAAACTTTCATTAGATTTCTTCATTCAACGTTCTGAACAGCAGCAGAAATGCAGTAACAGTCCGAAACACAGTGTTTACAGAGTTTTTTATGAGAGCTACGGAAATCAGCTGTTAGCAATCCGACGCATGCGCACAACTACAACTATGTCAACAACAAAGGTTTTATTATATGGTCATTCATTTGTGTCTCATTTAAAACTTTTCATTCGGAATGAACATGATCTTTCGTATTCATTTAATTTGGACCCAGCTCATTACATGGTGCAGTTTTCTGCATTCCCAGGATCAACCGTGTCGAAATTGGCTCGAAGCAGCTCGTTGGAAATTGTGAAGGATTTTGAACCTGACATTGTGCTTTTAATGATAGGAACGTGTGATCTTTACCAAACGGGCAATTATCCAGAACGTATAGCACAGGACATATGCATTCTTACGGAAAAACTATACAATGTGTACAAAGTGAAATATGTGGTCGTTTTACAAACATTACACAGAATAACCCCACGTGTTTTGTTTAAATATCCGGTGGACTGCAAATTATTTAACAGTCAGGTGGACACATTCAACCATCATTTACATTCCCATTTGCCTAAAGGATACTCCAGATTGTGGCGATTGAAAGGCTTTTGGACAGAAACAAATCAACAGAGGGTATTTGCTGCAGACGGCACACACTTATCTCCCCTGGGGAACAGAAAACTGTACAACAATGTTAGAGCAGCCATTATCAGTGTAACAAAGGATTTATAAATCAAGATATGTATACATTCCATACACTGCTAGATTTTTTTTTTTTTTTCTTTAAATATCTTATCTCTCAAGACTTATAATGTCTTTATCAAATCATTATTATCAGGATTTGAAACTGTATATCATACTATATAGCAATAGCTACATATACATAAATTTTTTTTATATTTTCTAGAGGCTTATGTACATGTAGATCTACTAGCTTAAAGAACCACAAGTAAAATTTACCTTATGATCCGTACATGTATTTTTCACATATACATATTTTAATTCATTTAAGTGCAGTCATACAGCATTTATTTAGTATATCTTCTGATGTTCTAGATTCCCTCAAGGATTTAATTTACCTTTGGAATCTAATGACCCAGAATATTTTAGTTTCACACTATAGTAAGAGTGTTTCATAGACAAAACATATTTCAGTACAGTTTATATATTTGATGAGCTAGATCATGCACTTGGGCTGGTCTGATGTTCCAATATAGTAATAGATTATGCCTGATGGCGATGATTACATTAACTCTATAGTAACAGAGTATGCCATATAAATGGCGATGATTACATTAACTCTATAGTAACAGAGTATGCCTTAAAAATGGCGATGATTACATTAACTCTATAGTAACAGAGTATGCCTTATAAATGGCGATGATAACATTTACTCTATAGTAACAGAGTATGCCTTATAAATGGCGATGATTACACTTACTCTATAGTCGCCTTATTGCGATGATTAACACTAATATATAGTAACAGTGTTATTGTACATTACTAATAACAAATGTATATATTTTTTGATGAACCAGATCAATTTATAGGTAAATTTCCTAATTTGGTCCGATGTTCCAAAATTTTTCTACTTTCTACTTTCTTTTACAGAGTACATGTATAATGTACATACATATCTAAAGTAATACATAAAGTTCATTTCATATACAAATCTCCTCCGCAAACATTTTTAGTCTTAAATAATAATCAAATTTCTGGAACGACAAACAGATTTCATTAACGTTAATATATTACTTTAAACCTGATTGTATAGGTTTTTATATATACTATATTTATATTATATTAAAAAATATTTTCAATACATCTTTGTAGTGGTACTGCTTTTTACTACTTATCTAATTTACTGTATTATACAAGAATATTCATATATTATACCTAGAGAGGGTTATCTTTTATTTTTATTAAGATATTTGTTCTTTGTTTTAATGTTTTATAAATTTTTGTAGGTAAAACGGACCCGGTCAGGCATGGAGGCTAGTACAGAAGCCTCTGATAGCCGAGCTCAGAAAAGGAAATCAACTAAAATACAGACAAAACGAGGACAGAGAAAATCTTCCTCTACCAATGTAAAATCGCTTTTAAAAACAGGAACTAAAATCGGTTCAAATAAAGACATTAATAGAAGCAGAAGAGCACCCCCTCCCAGAAAGAAGGCTAAGAGTAAGAACCAATCAATGCCGGTAGACCCCACAGAAGATGATATCTCAGTGGAAACTGACCAAGAATCCTCAACATCCAGTGATGGTTCAGATTCAGACATGGATGATGTGAATTTCAGTCAAATTACGGCTAATCACACAAATAATTTCTTTCAAAATGGTGGGTATGATGGCACTCTTCTAAATACACCCATTTCTACCCCTATTTCCCCACAGATTAACAAAAAACTAAAGAATAAAATCTGGTCTGACGCATACATTGATATGGCAGACCTTCTACCAATGCAACCCTCATCCACCAATACCAATCAATTTACGCTTCAAATAAACAACTTCGCCTCAAATAACGTAAGCCTAGCTCCATCTCACAAACCCAGAAAAATTTTCAACATTGAGACTTGGACAACTGCCTTTCTGCGATTTGTAGCTGTTTATTCGGAAAAATTTCCATACTTAACAGCTGCTCTGATGAAATATGCTGAAGTAGTCCGGGATATATCAACCCGTCGACCAGGACTGGCGTGGCAAAATTATGACACACAGTTCCGATTACTGAAATCCCAGATGGGCATGCCTTGGGATACAATGCATTACGAACTTTGGTTAAAGGCATGCACCGATCCAACTCCCTATACGCAGTCAAGTCCCCGGCCCTTTCGTTCAGAATTCCCATCAAATAGACGCTGGAACAAACCTAAACCTTCCCAACCCTTGTCAAAGTTTTGGCCAAATACATGCTGGCCTTACAATAGACAAGACTGCAGGTCAACTAACTGCACATTACCCCATGTCTGTGGTTTCTGTAAAGGTACCCATCATGCAGGCCAGTGCCATTATCGAAACAGAGAGCATGCAGCTCAATCCCTCCTCGGCCAAAACCAAGGGAAACAATCCAATTTCACCAAACCACAGTCTGTTAAATATGTGCAAAAACCAGCTTCCCACCCCCATTGAAATTCAACCCCTCATTTCCTTATTACAAGGTTATAACGACATAAACTACATAAAAAATGGTTTCCAAGAGGGTTTCATTTAGGTTATATAGGTGATAGGTCAGCATGCGATAGTAGAAATTTGAAATCTTGCATGGAATATCCAGAAATTGTAGAAAGAAAACTGGAAGCCGAGAAAAAACATAATAGAATTGCTGGTCCATTTGAAGTATCTCCCTTCGATAATTTAAAAATTAGCCCAATAGGAGTTGTTGAAAAGAAAACACCAGGTCAATACCGTCTTATTCATCATTTAAGTTACCCAGCAGGTTCTTCAGTAAACGATTTTATAGATCCTTCATTATCAACAGTAAGTTACACATCATTTGATGATGCCGTCAACCTCCTCATTAAGTTGGGCCCTGGTTCCCTGTTCAGTAAAACAGATATTGCAGATGCCTATAGATTAATACCCATTCATCCAGATGATCATAGCTTGTTAGGTTTCAAATTCAAAGACCAAATTTATTTTGACAAATGTCTGCCTATGGGAGCTTCCAGCAGTTGTGCCATCTTCGAACGGTTTAGCTCTAGCCTTGAGTGGATTGCAAAGAAAAATTGCTAATTCCACATATAATACACATTTTAGATGATTTTCTCATTATGGGCCCTCCAAAGTCAAATACATGTAAGCTCCATTTAGATAAATTTTTGTCCATGTGTAATTCAATTGGGTACAAATTAAATCTGAAAAGACCAGCAACCATGTAATATCATTACATTTATGGGCTTAGAATTAGACTCTGTGCAAATGGTGGCCAGACTACCACAAAGATAAGCTTATTAAATTAAGACAGTTGCTATCATTTTATATCAAACGTAGGAAAATAACTCTTAAAGACATGCAAAGCTTAATTGGTCTTCTAAACTTCTGTTGCTATGTAGTCACACCTGGCAGATGTTTTCTTAGAAGATAAATTGATCTTACTAAAAAGGTCAATAAACCGAACCACCGCATTACACTTAATGCTTAAAGCCGAAAAGATATTAAAGCCTGGCAAATATTTGTGGAACATTTTAATGGAAAAAATTTACTGTTAGATGGAAAATGGTTGACAGATGAACAATTAAATTTGTTCACTGATGCATCCGGAATTTTAGGGTTTGGAGCAATATTTGGGCAACATTGGTTCTATGGTACTTGGCCGGAAAGTCTATCAAATATGGCCATTACCTTTAAAGAAATGTTCCCTATAGTAATAGCAATTGAGGTTTGGGGGCAAAAATTATGCCATAAATGCCTCGTTCTTCATTCTGATAATGAAGCTGTGGTATATATTTTAAACAAACAAACTTCCAAAAACCCTTTAGTAATGCGTTTAGTTAGACGCTTTGTATTACTTTGTATGAAATATAATATTCTCATTAAAGCTGTCCATATCAGTGGTAAATTGAATTATCTCCCTGATCTTTTATCACGTTTACAGATAAACCAATTCAAAACAGTAGCACAACAGCACATGGATCCAGACCCCACAGACGTAACATCAATCGTGTCCGATCTCACTTAGACCAAACGGTCTTAGACCTCTTGGATAATTCTTTGTCATTGTCAACCAAACACTCATATCAACATTCATTAAAACATTTTTTCACATTTATGCAAAGTACCTACCCGGGAAAAACACATTTCCCTGTCTCTGAGTATAAAATTGCGCAATATATAGCATACTGTTTCGAACAAGGTTACCGCTATTCCACTATACGCACTAAAATATCAGCCATTGCTTATTTACACAAAATTCATAAATATCGCAATCCTACAGACTCATTTGTCATTTCGAAAATGTTGTATTCAATAAGAACAACCTCCACCCCGTCTGACAGTAGGCTTCCAATGACTATCCCTATATTGAAATCAATTATTCAAGCCCTTGACACGATAGTGCCCTCATCATATGACAAACTCTTGTACAGGGCTATTTTCATAGTGTCTTTCTTTGGCCTCTTAAGGATTGGGGAAATAACACTCACACCAACAGGTTCTACTAATGTCATACAAAGTAATAACCTCACTCTCCACAGGTCAAAGTCCACCCGTAAAATCAATAAAGCAACAATTTATATGCCGAAGTACAAACATTTTGATGGTAAAACCTCCACAATTATACTGAAAAAGAATTCCGATGTTACCATCTGTCCGGTTAATGCATTAAAAAGTTACCTTAAGAGAAGGTCAGCACGGTCTGGTCAATTATTCATATGCAGAAATGACCGTACATTATTCAGTTCTACATTTCGCTCATTGTTGAGAAGTTGTGTGGAACATATAGGTTTGGATCCAACAAAATATACACCTCACTCATTCAGAATAGGTGGCGCCACACACGCTTTCAACTGTCAATATACTCAATTACAAATCCAGAAATTAGGCCGCTGGAAATCCAATGCTTTCAAAGGATATATTCGCCCTGTCAATTTATAATACGAAAAAGTTTATGCCATATAAAAGCTAGTGCCATCATACTACCTAGAGTGATTGTTTTGTTGTTCGCAACGTCCTGACTGGCTAAGGCAGCAGGATATTTGTAATATTAAATGTTAAGTAATACTGACATTGATTACTCGTTTTCACAGTTACCTGACTGGCTGAGGCAGCAGGAAATCTGTACATATGAACATTATTCAACTTGCAACTTTAACCTTATGAACTTGTTCCTGACTGGCTGAGGCAGCAGGAAATCTGTACATATTGACACTTTTCAACTTACAATTTTTACTCTTGTTAACATGTTCCTGACTGGCTGAGGCAGCAGGAAATCTGTACATATGAACATTTTTCAACTTGGAATTTTTAACTCTTGTTAACATGTTCCTGACTGGCTTAGGCAGCAGGATATTTGTATGTATCAACATTTTTCACAACTTATATCTATTACTCTGATCATTTATATTTCCTGACTGGCTTAGGCAGCAGGATATCTGTACATATATGTAAATCTTACAGTGTATCAGCTTTAACTCTAATTCATATTTTTCTGACTAGTTAAGCAGCTATATATCTGTACATATTTATGACGGTTAATATTTTTACATTTACCTATTTGTTATTCATATTTTCATGACAGGCTTGGACAACAAGATTTTAGAACATGAAAACGTTAATTGATACTTTTACATTTTGTTTCCTCATTACATTTAAAATCATATTTCTAAATAATCTAATCTAAATTGTTATACAGGACTAAGTTAGGCAAAGGCATAATTATGAAAATATAGTTTATAAACAACAAGCATATTATACAAATGTTATGTAGTAATACGATGATTGTTAATATTTACTTTAAACAGTATTATAGTTAAACTGTCTCACGTTACTTAGAAACTACTATGGCCAATTTATGTTTTTTACTTTTTCAATTTTATTATCATATAAGACATTTCCCATATCTTAACATTATAATTTGATATTTACACCATGTATATATTACTACCAAAAACTCAATTTTGTCTGGCGGATATGGGTTGGTTTATTGACAACCCATTTATGGCGGTTTTTCCCTGCCAGATATTTCGAAAAATTACCTCATTCTTGTTCATGTTATACTTATGGCTTAATAAAGCCCAAATATCAATCTCATAACATGGTTGTTTCTTATTTCTCCATACAAGCTTCAATTGAGTTTTTGGTGGTTGTTGCAGTTAATATAAATGTATTTTATGTGTCATAAAATTATTTATATGGCAAGACAACATAATTCTTAATATCATTCACTTTACTTTTCTGTAAATCCGCATATATCTTATGCACTGCAGATAGAGGTCCGCATACCGAAGTTTCGTTACCGACAAATAAACGGTGCATTTATAATTAGCCTACGTCACTTCGCGTACCTCAGTGAACAAAGAAACTCGCATTTGCTTTTCCCACCCTCCCACCACAATTATAAATTTCCATTACAGTCTTGCAAATAAATGGTTTTGTAACTTCATGCTTATTTTTCTTTCTAGTCATATACCGATTGTTAATATTGATTTATCATGATATTTCTATTTTCTAGTTGTTATTTGGTGCTGGCGGTTTTTCCCTGCCAGATATTTCGAAAAATTACCTCATTCTTGTTCATGTTATACTTATGGCTTAATAAAGCCCAAATATCAATCTCAATCTACAGAATGATAATATAGGGTTCCTTTACCATAAGCAGATGTTAATGTCAGTTAAAAGATTAATTAGCGCTAAACTTGTATATACAAATACATTGGGTAATTTAGCAATGTGTTATAAGTTTCATGTAAGTAAACCGGTTTCGCCATGCTTTTCAAGTGCTAAAGCGATGCAATTTCACCAACGTTTAAGTTTTTTATAATGAAAGTACAGAGGCAGTCAGTGCAGTCAATTACTTTTACATAGCTCCCTGTGTGACTCACACAAAAAGAATGCGACAATGGCGCGTGTTCCTGTGATGTTGTCCTTTACTGCATTTTTCGTTCTTTGTAAGGCCGTTCACTATTAATCAATTAATGATTAATTAATTGTTTTATTTATGTATTTTTAGTTAAGGGTCAAACTTGCAAATTGTAAACCTATTGTATTGACCTTCATGATAAAGTATCCGTCATTTATGATTTATGATTATGAAACATACAAACACTTTCATTTCAAATACTACTAAACTGATTTCAATTTCCTTACGGCTATCATTTTGCTTGTCATAATGCCCAGTCCTGCTCCTCATCAATAATTACTTCAAGTACTGTATCATTTACTTGCAAAACTTGTAGTTTAACATAACCATATTGAAAACATAAAGAAAATATATTCACTGACACAACAGTAAACGCAAGTTACAAGACGCTATTTCAAAGCGATTTTTATCATGGAAATTTTCGACTTTGATATTGACAAATTTTGACGAATTCAATACGGTTGACACAGGTAGACAAACAAATATGAGGAGATAAACAAAATGCACATATTTATACACGAACAAGATGAAATGATGATATAACATAATTAACATGTATTACATGTACG